TGGATTCGAACCACATACCTTTGACTTGGCAGCACAACTCCTTACCCACTCGGCCACCAGAGCCCTTATTAGATTTTGAAAACCTTTAAATGAATACTAATTGGCAACTATTAAATGATAGATTAAGTCTTGGATTTTTTTTTTACCTTGATTGTTCTCCATAAATGTAGAAATAATAACAGATGCCTTGCTTGTTCCCTCACCATTCTGTAAGGCAACTATTTCCTCCTCTGGTTTCAGACCTCCTACACAGCCTCCCCTTTCTGCCCTTATATCTGACTTCACCTTCTACCTTACTGAAAATTTATTAGCATTTTAGACGGAAATGCCATTTCCCCCTCCACTAAGTGTGCAGACTAACTGCATCTACATCCAAGCCATCTGGCTGCCTCCTTTTCCAGTGGAGGGCTGTCCTGATGTGACCTAGGACCAGCCCTGCACCTGCTGTGTGGAGGCCACAGCTGTCTCCTCTTGCATCCTTACGAGCATCACCCTGGAATTATCCCCCACATCTCTACTGCATCCTCAATTTCCTCTTGTCTTCACAATCATTCCCATGAGCATAAAGACCCACCTTACCGTCACTCATTTTTGCATACTTTCTTGACTACCCATATAATCAGAAAAATGTCGTGGGAAAGTTGATCCCATTTATTCTCTCTACTTCCGTCATTCTCACTTACTCTCCAGCCCTTGCCAGTCTAACTGTCATCTCACCTCTTTGATCAGGGCCATTCCTGCTTCCATCTACCAAACCCAAGGGATGCTTCTCAGCCTCTGTGCATTGCAGTTACTGCATCATTGTTCTTTTACTTTTTAAATTTTTTTTCTTGGAGAACTTTTCTCTCTTTGTTCTTATAAAACTACATGGTCTTGGTTTTACTCAGTTCTTTTGGAAGTGTCTTTATCTCCAGCATGAAATACTGAATGCTACAGCAATGTAAAGAAAACAAAAATTCTTACTACTGAACCTATAGGTGACATCATAATAGTCTTGAGGTGGTGGTGGTGGTGTACCGTAGAGTCAGAACTGACCATAGCTAACCCTCCAGTGGTTTTTCAGAGGCAGTTAATCACATGGGAGGAGTTGATTGCGCATCCTTCTTCCATAGAGCAGCTGATGGCCTCAAATCATGTGCCTTCGGGATTGCAGCACCACTTCTTGCCACTAGGCCACCAGAACTCCCATAGTAGATGGAGAAAAGTTTGAAACTCTGTGTCAGTAAGATCAACAGTTCAAATCCACAAGGTGCTCCATGGGAGTAAACTGGGAATTCTTCCCATGGAGGACTGCTGTAAATCAGAATTAACTTGGTGGTTGGGTGATTTGTTGTGGGTTTTGTGGGGTGTTTTGTTTTGGGGTTGGTTTTTTTTCCCTTTTTCTTAGTCTCACTCAACATATTGTTCTTTTCAGTCCTCAGTTATGTCAAACTCTTTCCCATGATCAATTTGTTGCATTTATTCTTCCTTTCCCTAGCAAACCATAGCTCTTAGAAGGAGATGGCTCCTTCTCCAATTCAAAAGTACCTTCCAGAGGCCTCGTGTGACCTAAAGTAATCGACTTCCACCCTCAGGAAGCTTCACCATCTCTTTCAACATTTATTAATAGTATTTCTTTCACCCTCACTAGAATTTAGGTTTCTTTTTTTATTTTCCTATCTTCTCTAGCATCTGAGACCTTCTTTGTTAAATATTATTGTCGTTAGGTGTCATTCAGTGGATTCTGCCTCACTGTGACCCTGTGAACAACAGCACTACACCTCACTCCCTCCTATGGCACCCTCACCATATCAGCCATGCTCAAGCTCACCGGCCCAGTCACTGTGTCATTCCATCTTGTTGTGAGTCTTCCTGTCTTTTGCTGACCCTCTGTTTTTCCAAGCACTTTTCCCCACCTAAGGGCTAGCCCTTCCTGACACCATGCCCTAAGTGAGGTGTTTCACCATCCTTGGCTCTAAGGAGCACCCTGGTTGCACTTGTTTGCTTCAGTCTTTTGGAAGTTCATGGGATATTTAAACTCTTCTCCAACACCACAATTCAAAAGAACAAAAAAATAGTAGGTGCTTAATAATAAATGTTTCATTTAATTAAAGAAATATCATCAGCAAAAAAGTTTTGAATGAATCAAAACGTGTTTTAATTTAGCATAACTCTGTATTCAGAGAGGTACCCAGAGGTACCTATAATTTCTGCTCACATCCAAAATTTCTCTCAAGGGAAAGACGTTTTTCCATAGTATAACTTCATCATTTGAAAAATGGGCAAAAAGCACTCATAATGTGAGAATCAGACCATTAATATTAATAGATTAAGGTATATGCTCGGAATAAAAATTACCCAGCAGTGTTCCCTTTGAGGGGCAAGGAATACGAGATTTAAGTTCTCCTCCTTGAGCTCATCTTGCATCAGAAGTATTTTGATCAGTGGTTCAGGGAGACCAAAGACCCTCGGCATATGAGTTGTTTTCTTAGAAGAAACACAGATGTCTATGGAATTGACTAAACAGCATACAACACCCGCATTTGTTTGCTTCTCAGCTGCTCTCACTTTACAGAGGGAAGTGTCACCAGGCCGTCTGAGAGACAGGAGCTGCGTGAAGGTGGGCAGTCACCCGGGCAGAGCCTCTTGGACACAGCAGGCCACAAGCTCATGAAGCCCATACTGAGCTTTGGGCCCCTTCTGCTGTCACTAGCCTCTAACAACTGCAGCAGCGTGCTACTGGTCCCCCTGCTTCCCATGTTGAAAGAAACCACTCTCAACACACAGGCGCGTCTTACTTCCAGAAGCTTCCAATGTCTTTTCAGCTCAGACACTTCAAGAAAGTCTTTCTTCAGTGAAGAAGCCTAACTAGTATTTGCCAGAATACTAATCCCACCAGCAATACAAGATATATCATCTTCTAAATGTATACATGACAGATTTGTGGAACCAGGCTTAAGGCAGTGGGACTCATAACTACTCAAAAGAAATCATACTATACAATTAAAGCTAATTCGATCCCATTGGTGTAGGAAGGTAATTGTCACTCTGTGTTTTGGTAGGGTAGGTTTCCTAGTAAAGCAACTCATTTCCAAACCTTAACAACTTAACATAGTAACTCAAAACTCATTGCTGTTGAGTTAGAATCAACTTATAGCTGACTCTCCATCAGGTTCTCAGAGGCTGTAAATTGTACAGGCAGAGATTGCCCATCTTTCTCCTGTTAATACAGTAAAGGTGTATTTATGTCTCTTGCTACAGCCCAAAGCCCATGGTGAAAAGGGGTCCACCCTGGCTCCACACAGCCCTAAAGGGACTCAGGCCCCTTCCTGCTGGGGCACAGGCGCTTAAGTGGGAGTCTGAGAAGCTACCCTTTCTCTGGTGAAGGAACTTGGATAGGGAAAGGGGTAGCATATTTTTATTATCACTAGCTTTTCTTACTATCATTTTACATTCCCTTTGATTATGCTGGAGAGCATCAAACCATTAAAGCATTAGCACTTTGCCACCCATCACAATAATAGATGCTTTCACATCATGTTATAATTTTGGCAGCTGTCATGGAATGCAGTGATAGCATCATATTACTTTGCAATTATAGGGGGATTATAAATGTTAGTAAAAGGTACATGTACTACTATATCACAAAATCATTTTTTGTCTTGATAACCACATTTCAGTATACTTGCTTTTTTACAATCCTGTGCAGTTTATTTTGAGCATTAAGAAACCTGGGGAAAGGTGTATCGGTTTCGTCAGATTGTGGAAAAGGTCCAGGGGAAACAAAAGAACCCCTGCAGAACTAGTGGTTCTGCCATATCCCCAGGTCTTCAGGATCCTCAGCGTCCAGTCAGCAGAGCCAACTGAGGTAGGGTTGGGAGTAAGAAGAGAGAGCAGCGGGTAAGTATTCTAGAAGTGAGATTCAGAAGACGTGAATAACACTGACCAGATTCCACGTGCCCTAATTGATAGTCCTTCCTAACTGTAATGGTAAGGGATGTGGGAAATGAGGTCCAGAAAAGAGTGAAGGAGGAGAGAGCTCTGGTGGCCTAGAGGCAAGAAGCTATGCTGTAATCCTGAAGGCACACAGTTCGAATCCACCAAATGCTCCTCTGGAGAAGGAAGGGCACTCTCCTGTGCCAGTTGAATCCGACTCAACAAGAAAAAGAAAAGTGGAGGAAGAAGAAATCAATTTTGATGAACATGTCTGCTGCTATGCCTGTGGAAACTACTAGCAAAGATTGCAATGACAAGGGTCCTCTCCAGAGAAAACTCATTCGCCTGAAAAAATGTAACTTTGGGGAGCATGACACCATCATAGCACCCTAGCCACCATGGATCTACCAGTGCCCTGCTAAAGATTCACCTCCATGCCTTCATTCAATCATCAGAATAATCCCATGAGACAGCAGCAGTATCACTGCTCTTATTTTCAAGATAAGAGACAGACCTCCACACAAAATAAGTCCACGATCAGTGCTCTCAGGCATTGCACTAAGCCGTTTTGAAAAATACTGAGTCCTCTATTGAAGAAGGCAGAACTACGTACAGTTAAGAGGGTAGTTCCTGGAGCATGACTCCCTAGTTTGTATCCTGGCTTTTCCACTTAACTGGCTCTGATGGAATGTGGTTTACTGGAGCTTTCTATTCCCCTGCAAAATAGGAATAATTGTAGTATCTGTCTTCGAGGATTAAATGAGACACAGACGAGGGTAGCACCTGGTACATAGTAACTCCTCATGGATGTTAGCAACCCTATTCACAGCTGAATGACACTGTGGTCAACTTGCTAGATGTGAACTGAAGCATTCCTGCAGAGCTCAGTTCTCATGAAGCACATGGGAAGATGTCTGAGGCCACCAAGACATTCACCAGCAAGGACATTTTCTAGAATGGTGGCCGAGTTAATAGTAAAAAGGGTATAAGCTGTGATTTTTCTTGTATATTTATATATTTATATTTGGGGGACAGATAAAATGGATTTGTTTCCATTTTAACATAACTTTCTTTTTTCTTTGTAGAATTCCATGAAAGTGATGTTCAAATGTCTTTGGAAAAACTGTGGGAAGGTGCTGAGCACTGCGGCCGGAATCCAGAAGCACATCCGGACCATTCATCTGGGGTAAGACCATCCTCACTTTCACATTTTCCTTTTAGTAAAGGGCCATCCATTCAGTCTGGGGCCAGCTGTACCCAGAAATTACATCGTACATTACACCTTGAAAATTTTAAATACAGCAAAAGACATAAAGCAATGCTTAGTCTCCATAATCAATAGTTAGAGAACCCTGCAGATAATACAGAAAGTTCTCATGGCCTAGTGGGTAAGGAATTACACTGTCAGCCTAAACATATGCGAGTTCTAATCCACCAACTGTCGGATAAAGATGGTCACCGTCCTTCTGTGCATTTTATTGCCTCTAAAAACTCACTTGGGACTCAGCTATGATTCAGTTATGACTTGATGGCATATAACAAGATAATTTAAGCCAATATGGCAAATGGAAAGAATTTACAGATCTAAAGTTTTACTAACATCCAGCAAGACACTGCTCTAGGCCTCAGTTCTCTTTGAAAATGAAGTTCACCACAACAAGATGAAGGTAAACAACCCAACTGAAAAATAGGCACAAGGAGCCTATCAACAAAGGAATGGATAGAGAAGCTGTGGTGTATTCACACAATGGAATACTACGTTGAATTGAAAAACAAGGAACTCATGCAATAGTATTAAAAATGGGTGACCCTGGAGGACATTATGCTGAGTGAAGTATCTCAGTCACAAAAGGACAAATACTGCATGGTGCCATTGTTGTAAAACAGGACTGACCTTGGGGTTGGGGGGAGACTGAGAAAGATGGGATAAATAAGGTACACTGCATTGAAACAGATGAGGGAGAAAACGGTTTAAAAGGGTTATGTGATTAGGTATTTTTGTCATGACAGGAGTCCAGAGCGAAGGCTGCATACTGGAGTGAACCTGGGGGAGAGTTTGTAAAACAATAAAAGAATTTTTCTTTTACTTTTCTAAGAGGGTAGTGTACTAGGGGTGAGGGTTGGGAGGGGAGAAAAGTGCAACAATGAATGAATGGAAATCCAAAGTCTCTGTAAATTTTCATTAAAATTAATAATAATTTTTTAAAAAAGGAAAAAGAAAAAAATAGGCACAGGATATGAACAGACACTTCACCAAATAAGTCATTCAGATGGTGAACAAACACATGAAGGAATGTTCAAAATCCCTAGCTCTAAGAGAGATGAAAATCAAAACAACTATGAGATATCACCTCACCCCAGTCAGAATAGCAAAATTTAACAGAACAGCAAGCAACAAATGCTGGCGAGGTTATGGAGAAACTGGAACCCTTATTCACTGTTGGTAGGAGTATAAAATGGTGCAACCACTGTGGAAGGCAGTATGGCACTTTCTCAAAAAGTTGTAAATTGAAATGCCATTTGACCCAGCAATTCCATGACTGGGAATATACCCCAAAGAGACCATAACTGCCACCCAAGCAGATATATGCTCACCCATGTTTATTGCTGCTCTGTTCACAATAGCAAAGAGTTCGAAATAACCCACGTGCCCATCAGTAAACAAATGGATAGAGAAGCTATGGTATGTTCACACAATGGAATACTATGCTGCATTGAAAAACAAGGAACTCTACTATGCAACCTTAATACTGGACTCTTGTGATGCATAGTCAAGTGTATTCGGGGCAATGGGAGGGGTGCAGTGGGGATTGTATACCAAAGAAAGAATTTTTCTTTTACTCTTCAAAGAGAGGAGTGAACTGGGGGCGGGGATGGCGTGTGGGGTGGGGTTAGGTAGGGCTGGGCAGGGAGAAAAGTGCAACAATGAATGATAGTAATCCAAAATCTCTGTGAATGTTCATTAAAATTAATAAAAAAAGAAAAGAAAAACAGGTAACTTATCAAACATTATATAAAATGGGTGACTCTGGAGGACATTTTGATGAGTGAAATATCTCAGTCACAAAAGGACAAATACTGCATAGTGCCTCTGTTGTAAAACAGAACTGACATCGGGGTTGAGGAAAACTTAAGAAAAAAGGGCATAAACAATATATACTACCTTGAAACAGATAAGGGAGAGAACTGCTTAAAAGGGATATATGATTAGCTATTATTTTCATGACAGGAGTCCAGAATGGAGGCTACATAGTAGAGTGGACTTGGGGGGAGGGATTGTACAACAATGAAAGAATTTTTCTTTTACTTTTCAAAGAGAAGAGCGAACTGGGGGAAGAGGGGTGGGCAGGGAGAAAAGTGCAACAATGAATGAATGGAAGTCCAAAGTCTCTGTAAAGTTTCACTAAAATTAGCAATTAAAAAAAATGAACAAAAAAAAGAAAGTGAGGTTCATAGCAGAGGCCCTGTGAGTCATTAATGAGGGTCAGAGATCATCTAAGAGAGTGACTTGTGGATTGGTGATGCTAAAGTAGAAGTATGAGTCAGAAATGATGCAATGACATGAAGTTTCAAGGTAGGATTTTCTAAACTGGAGTTCATAGTTGGAGTTCAAAGTGCCCAGCAACCTTCTGAAATTTTGGTATATCATGTGCATTTTTTTCCAGCATACGTTATCCATAATTTTGAGGATCAAAAGTTATTTAAAAAGTTTTAAGTTATTTGAAAGGCATAAAAATCACTGCCTCAACCAATGATGCTGCTGTTATTCTGGTAGTTTAGTTCTGTCACTTTGTTGGTGCAGTAGGTCTCCTCTGTTGATATCCGCAACATTTTTCTTTGTTTTATGTAGCATTTAATTCCTCAACTGCAGTTGGTGCAATGGGAACCTTGATAGAAATCCTTTCTAAGAAAAACAGGGTGAAACTCTGGAATCACACCAGGGGGCAGTGGTGGCTCAGTGTCCTGCCCTGTTGCCTCTGGGTTGTTTTGGTTTGTTTTTTTGTTTGTTTTTTAGTGTTTTTGTTGTTGTGTTTTGGTCCTATGATCCACAACTTAGAAGGGACCTTAAGAAACCATAACCTGCAGAGCCAGGGTGCATAAAACACAAATGTGTGACAAAGGCTTCAAACTCTTGTGCACAGAAAAGCCAGTCTGAGTGTGTTGAGAAGGAAAAGCAATTCAGGTATCTCTTGCTTTTTTCCCATATGTTCATGCTAAATATCATTTTACTTTTCGGAAAGACTTCTGTTAGTACTTGTTTTGCTAATTGAAAGAAACCCAAAAGAGGATTTCTGGTTTTGAGGGGGCCAGGGAAAGGTGAGAAGTCAAACTAGCATTGCAGCTAGCCCTTGAAAAGGTGCCACGTGCCCCAAGCAGTCCCCACACTGACATCGCCACACTGGCATCGCCACATACCACTCAGCATCTCAGCATTAAGCCACCATTGCCTTGAACTCTGTAAACAAATGTTGGTGCTTTTTTGGGCTTTTTTGTGTTAGGTGGCTAATGTAGTAAGTTGTCTTGTTTCCGGGCCTGGGAATGCTCAGAAATTCCGCCATAGAAATGAATGGTAATTGCATCTTCATTTTACACCGTGGCAGCTTACAGGTTTCATAGGCCCTACTAGCCGATCACTGAGGAAACCGGTAGCCACTTTAGCCAGCAAGGGATCAATTCCAGCAATACATCACCCACGTAAAGTGGTTACGGACAGAAAATAGAAATGGGGTCTAAGGTGACTGCTAGCTTTGCGGGCTCCAGTGCCTGTGGAGAGAAGTGGGGGATCTAACTCCCTGACCTTAAGGCACTGACCCTGAAAACCACAAAACATTATGGGGCCTGTGTGTATGACCAAAGAAGCCCAAAGTTCTCCTCCCATAGCCACCAGACGGTTGGTCTCCACTCCCCCAAAACACCACCTGAAACTCTGCTGTTTAAAGCCCCTGGGACAGACTTCCTGCAGCAACTCTCCTCCAGTCTCCTCTCAGGACAATTCCCAATGTAAATAAGCTCAGAGTTATGTAAGGATTTAGAAACTACTTCCCAAAGCTGTAGCCAGGAGGTAGAGTGTTTGTCTTAAAGTCTGTCTGCCCAGAAAATGTAATCCTCTTCAGCACCATGGGGAGCACATACATGCCCTATAAATGTTCTTGTAGACTGCGAGTGGATACACACGTTGCCTCTGAGTTCCCGGGTGCTTCACACTGGGTGAAATGCAGAGTGCAGTTACCTAACTCGCTTCTTTTTGTTCCTTGTAGGCACCAGACAGTTCGTTCATATGTTCAACACAGGGAAATACTGCCGGGTCCTACATCATCTTTGTAATTGTTGCATGCTTGGCTCTCTTGTTGCAAAGCTAAGGAAATATTTACACACAGAAAGAAACATTCTTTGATGATTATCAGAGATGAGAGAGAAAGGGTGGGATGGAAATCAGTAATCTGGTAACAAAAATAAATAGAAACAAAATACCTTAATTAATCCTCGTGGTGATGTTTTTGCTTTTTGACACTTTAAAGAAGCCTTTTGCCAAAGACTTGTTCAGTCCCCTTCCCTAGCATCCTAGTTTCTCTGATGTGTTTTTAAAACTTGCATGAGAACATAAGAATCTTCAGAAATAGGACTGGCTAAGCGGGAGTCCAAAGCAGATACGCTTACATGCAGCCAAGGGCCTGAGTGTTCCTGGACTGGGAGAGATAAATAGCCTTTGCCTGAATCTCTGGGCTAGATTAAAAGACTCTAGGACAGTGAGACATTCTAAATGAATACTGGTTGTGTTGGAGGGAGAGGGAGCATATCAAAACCTAAAGAAAATATTTCTTGCTTCTGATTCAGCTGGAGTACAAACTCTGCCACTGTAAGAAGTACACTGTTTGTGTCTCTTTGTCCACCAGGGGCCAAGCCTGACTTAGCCACAACTAGGACACAACATTTTCCCCCAGGGCTGTGTAACTATTAGTAGCACTTGGCCGCCATTGCAGCTTAGACCTCCTTTTACTGAAAAGGAAGTGAGGACAAGAATAGAACATAGTGCATTCTTCATCCCACTCTCTGGGGTCTTTAATGGTATGCAGGTCACAAAGTCAAGCAACCAGACTGGTTAGGACACAGGCATCTATCTCCCCAGATGCCTCCTCCTGAGAGTCAGGGGAAACAGAGTTAGGTTTGGAGTCTCTGGCTTGACCAAACAGAAGGAGCCTAGTGAAGAGGGGTTGTTTGGTAGGGATCATAAAAGAAAAGTAAATTTTCTTTTCTGAGTCAGTGGTCTGTGGCTGCTGGATGTGTCTGTGAAATTCAAGGGGTGCCACATGGAAGGGTGATGGGCAGGGGCTCCTGCGCAGCCCTGCCCTACAGGCAGTTTACTACATTGCATGACCCCTTGAGAAATTAACGTGCCCCACTCATATTCTGAGTCCCTTTATGTCACTCAAAAACTTCTGTGGATATTTTGGTTTCCACCATCCAGATTGCAAAGTGCAGTATCCCATGTCTCTAGCAGAACAACTTTGAAAGCGGCTATCCCGTGGACTGCGAAAAGAATAGACAAGTGTGTCTTGAGAAAGTTACACAAGAAACCAGGGTGCTGCTTAGAGGCGAGGTCAATGAAACTTCATCTCACATACCTTGAGCATATTATGTTTGTGAAAGTGGAAGATCAGTGAAAAGAGAAAGACCTTCAGGGAGGAGGTAGATTGACACAGTGACTGTAACAGTGGGCTCAAATACATTAGAGATGTGAGGAGGGTGCATGACGGGACAAGGTTCAGATCTGTTGTCCGTACAGTTGCAAAAAGAAGCAGATTTACTGGCAATAGTAAAATCTTAAAGAATTTCGTTCCTTTAAGAATGTATATTTGGGTGGGGCTCTGGTGCTGTCATTTATATCAAGCTGTGCTGCTAGCCTAAAGATCAGGCATCTCCAGTGGTTCAAATCCACCCAGCTGCTCCATGGTAGAAAGATGAGCATTCTCCTCTCATTAACATTTATAGCTTCAGATCCCAGCAGAGGGCAGCAGAGAATTGAAATCAATTTAATGTCAGTGAATGAATGAGAGATAATGTAGAGATTATTGACTTTTACCTAGTTCTACAATCAATACCCATAGAAGACGCAGTTAAGAAACTAAACAGTATATTGCTTTGGGTAAATCTGCTGCAAATGGCCTCTCTAAAGTGCTAGCAAGCATGGATGCCACTTTAAAGAATAAGGTGCACCAGAGCCAAGCCCTGATATTTTCAACTGCTTCATATTCATGTTGGACAACAAATAAGGAAAACCGAAGAATCGATGTCTTTGAACTGTCACATTGTGGGGAAAGTGTTGAATATATCATGGACTGTAAAAAGAACAAGTAAGTCAGTCTTGGGAGAAGTCCAACCAGAGTAATCTTTTGAAGCAAGATAGTAAGGCTTTGTCTCATATATATATGCATTATCAGGAAGAATCGGTTCCTGGAAAAGGGCATCATGCTTGGAAAAGTAGAGGATCAGCAAAAGAGAGGAAAATCCTCAGTGAGACACAGTGGCACCATGACTGCAGCAGTGCGCTTAACCAGCAGGAGTTGTGATGATGGTGCATGATCCACCAGGGTTTCCTTTTGTTACATTAGAGAGCTATGAGTTGGAGTCAACTTGACAGCACCTAACCACAATGTGGACTTTGTTTTTATTTAATAAGCAATACAATGAGCTCTGGTTGGCCTAGTGGCAAGAAGCTGGGCTACAATCCCAAGGCATGTGTTCGAGGCCTTTATCTGCTCTGCAGGAAAAGGATAGTTTTAACTCTAATTCCTTCCATGCAATTAACTGCCTCTGAAAACCCACCAGAGAGGGTCAGCTATGGGTCTGTTCTGACTCGATGGTACACAACAGGCAATACGGTGCTTACTGTGTATCAGGTGTCCTTCAAAGTGGTCCTTTGTGAAATTACTCACTTAATCTTTACTATGATAAGCAACTAAATGTAATTCTACTCATTGTAGAAATGAAAAAATGAGGCACAGGAAATATGTATAAATTGCTAAAATCACATTCACAGCTAGAAAGTGAATGAGTCAAAAATTGAACCCAGGAAGCCTGACTTCAGATACTATTGACTTAACCCCTGGAGCTCATCTTCATTTGCCTGTTCATTCAACATTTAGTAAGTATCAGCTACCCTGAGTACCACATTCCCTCATATGTATAAGGCATAGAAAGAGGAAAAAGATGAAATCATTGGAAATTACTGTCATAGTGAATAAAAGATTCCAATTTAAAAATAATAAAGAATTAGAGAACTTTGGCAGGTTTATCTGCGTGACTCTAATTCAAACAAACAATAGTCAGGTCCCTAAGGTGAACAAAAGCAGTGGAGAGGTACACCATCCAGAGAACAAGCAGCCATTCAAGAGCAAATGGGCAGCATTTGTCCAAGGAATGTCCAGAAGGCAGAAAAGGTTAGGAAAGGAGGAGGAATGGAAGCAGGAAACAGCAGGAAGACTTGGGGATGAGTGCTGTGATACTGTGGGGATTTCAGTCAATGACATGAAACAAATTGTGGATAAACTGTTGAGCGGAAAAGTGATTCTCCTAATTTACAAGAAAAAGTTAGAAAAACATGATATGTAAATAAAGAGAAGGATCTTCGTCAGAAGCAATACAGAGGACCTAAGGGGAATTACGTCGTAACTAGTCAATAGCCAGAATGATCCTTATAAAATTAAACTGGATCAAATTCAGAATAAAATGCAGTCATTTTCATGGCTACAAACCCCTACACAATCTTGCCTCTGCTTCTTTTTATTTACATATGTTTGCTTACAAAATCCGTACACATTTTGTTTTACACTATTCTTCATTCACATTGTGTTTCATACAATTATTCTCATGGATTATGTTTTATAAAATTAATCACCATTAAACCTGGCCCATCTCTTCACCTGATCCTTGTCTTTTCACCCAGCTCCTTCCCATTTCCTTCCATTATCTCTCTCCACCCACCAAACTGTGGTTTTGCCCTCACCCATACTCAGCCGTCCCTACCTTGAGTTCCCATACACGTTTTACTAGTTGTCCTTCTATTTTTACAACAATGGTATTCTACAGTATTTGTCCTTATAAGACTGTGTTAGTTCACTCTGCATAATGCTCTCCAGCCTCTCCCAAGTTACATGGTATTTTTTTCTAAATTATTGCTCCTGAGTGCTGCATAGTATTCCATTGTGTGAATGTACCATAATTTCCCAATTCATTCGGTTGTGGTTAGACACTTGGGCTGTTTCCATGTTCTTGCAGTGGTGAATAGTGCTGCTATGAACCTTGGTGGACAAGTCTCCATTTGGGTCTCAGTTCTAAGGTCCCTGGGGTATATTCCTAGAAGTGGAATAGCTGGGTCATACAGAGTAAAGTTCAACATTGCCTCTGCTCCCACCTCTTGTCCCCTACCTCTCCCTCATGCCCTGAGCTTCAGCCACTGGTCTTTCTGCCCTGTGTATTATGCATCAGGTCTTCCCCCTTTGGACTGCTCCTCCAGGCAGGCAGCCTTCTTCACACAGGATGCTGCCTGGCACTCTTCTCTTTCACCTTCAGGCCTCGGTTCTCCGTGAGCTTCCTCTGCCTCATCAACACACAGCTCCCATGACTAGCTCTGCTCATGGATGCTCTCTCACACTGCTTTATTTTATATATGTTTATAGGAGACTTTTCACTACCTGAAGTTTGTCTGTTTTATATATATATGAATGAAAAGCCAGTATGAATTGTAAACTCTGAGTAAATAAAAGGGCTTCTTGTCAACCTTCCTCTCTATAAATTCCATCATAGCAGAATAGGTTCTCTGTTGAATGACTGAATGTGTGAACTGCTTTAAGACAGGAAGGAAGGTGTCCCTGAGGTTGACAGTTGACTGTTGCACTGTAAGGAAGGGTTGGCCAGCAGACAGGAGAGAGGACAGGCAGCCCCAGCAAAGAAGCATGTGAGGCAGGCAGCCGGGCAGCCCTGCTACAGTCACTTTGCTCTCTTTTCTACATTCAGGCGCGTCGGGGACTCTGACTACAGTGATGGGGAAGAGGACTTCTACTACACAGAGATCAAGCTCAACACTGACTCGGTGGCAGATGGACTGGGCAGCCCAGCCCCAGCGTCCCCCTCGCAGTCCTTGGCTTCGCCTCCTATCTTCCCCATCCCGGATTCAAGCCGAGCGGAAACTCCTTGTGCCAAAACGGAGACTAAACTGATGACGCCCCTGAGCCGCTCTGCTCCCACCACCCTCTACCTCGTGCACACCGACCATGCTTACCAGGTAACTGGCAGGGGACTGGGGACTTATGACCTTGACTAAAAGCAGTAACTTCTCACCTGTGTCCGTGGAGGTTAACTCAGCCACGACAGCCAACCAGCAGCTGAATCTGTTTCCTTTCTCCCCACTTAACCCAGCATCTTGCTCAGATAGGACCCAGTGAGTTTTCACAGACTCCCCAGTGCTAACTCCAAGGTCTGATCCCAGAGTCCCACTCTTTAGTGCGAACTAAAAGTCTCATCCCTTAAAGGTTGCTGGACAGTTAAAATTCTATATTGGAAAGCCCTCAGAATTATGCCTGGCATTCTTTTTACAATATCCGTGTTCACACAACAAAAGAATCACCCTGAACTCCAAATTGGGGGCTTCATAGCCTGCATTCTAAATGGGTAATTAAAGTTCCCTGATTAGAGTGGTAAATTTCCAAGTATGTCCTCATTTATCAGGTAACAACCTGAGAATACATTGTTGTTGTTTCTGTTATAAGCTGTCCTGATCGTTAAGCATCAACTCTAATGCTTAAATGACCCTTCTGACAGAGCAGAACTGCCGTGAAGGGTTTCCTAGACAGTCATTCCTCTTTACAGAAGCAGCTCTTCTCTCCTACAGAATGGCTAGTCCATTTGAATTGCACACCTTCTGATTATATCAGCCAAACATACAGTAACTCAACTCATTGCCATCAAGCCACATCCAACACACAGCACCCTCCACTGAGTTTCTTAATAGGAGGACACTTCTTATCTTTCTCCCATGGAGCAGGTGGTGGGGTCAAACCACTGGAGACACAGGGCATTTTGGTTTGCAGTGTAACATAGCAGATTACATCACTAACCCTTTTTCAAACTTATGTTAGAAATGTAAAGTCCCACGTCCCGCTCAGCCCTTCTAGGTCAGTAGAAATTCAGTGATTGGTCCCACCTCTGGCTTATAGCAGATCCCAGATGAGCTAGATGCTCTCAGACCCAGGAACTCCTGACAGACACTAGTGAGGAATCCTGAAATACAGAGTGTACAGTTAAAGCTCCTTTTCCCTAGCATTTGTTAATTCTTCAAATGTTAATTTGTTTTAATAAACTCTCAGCACATTCTAATTTCAAGAAAACAGCTTATCCATCACTCATAGTCACCTTATGCAACCTTTTGAAGTCTCTTTTACATAATTATAATTATGTTCCTCTTTCCTTATTTTATAAAAACTTCCCATATAACTGAATGCATTGAACACTATTAAACTGAAACATTGTCATTATCTTGGGCATTCTTTTATTATGCTGTACCTAGTCTGTTTTTCTATCCCTCTAGCTGGTTTTTTTTTCTTCAGTTTTCAGGAGAGTCAGAAGATACAATATGAGCATTTTATGGCTTTTGTTATGAATTATCAGAGTACTTTACAATGATGCTAATTACAGACCACTCTCAGGAGTAAATATATTTGTAATTAGAAAAACTAAATTTCTGTAGAAGGAAAAAGTCAGTAATGAATTTAGCTAACTTAAACCTAGGAAAAATGGAATAAAATTTGTGGATGCAATAAATATTATTCCTGCCCTTGACTGAGGGCGTCCTGGTGGCATAGTCTGTAGGAGGTTGCACTGCTAACACAAAGTCTCCAAGGGACACAGATGGACAGGCAATCATAGCCTCAGAAACTTGCTGGAGGTTCAGCTGTGAGTCAGTATTGATTCAATGGTAATGAACATGTAGTCTTGAATGACTGCCTAGTAATGGAATTGCTAATACGCAGAGCAAGGAACTTTGGTGACTAAGTGGTAAGAAGCTGCACTGCAATCCCAAAGGTATGTGGTTCGAATCCACCAACTGTTCCAAGGGAGAAGAATGAGCAGTCTCTTCCTGTGTGATTTACTGCCTCTGACTCCTGCTAGAGGGTCAGCAGTGAGCCAGTTCTGAATCGACAGCAAACAACAATATACATAATGGTAGAGTTTTTGTATGTATTGTCCAACCAACTTTAATTCACCACCCGCAACCACTATATTTAAAGTATTTCTTTCCCAATTTCTGAGTAAGAAATAACATCTCACAGGTGTCCTAAAATAGGTATATGCACATACTATAATAAAAATTATCTTCAGAATCAACAGTGAAAGATAATCTCCTTCTGTAACTTACATAGACTGCTTCAGCACATAAAAAGTTGATTTCTAGATAATTTTTTACTCTCTTTAACCCGTACTGCTAGGGAGCTCTGGTAAGGGGCTGTACTGCTGACCCAAAGGCATGCAGTTCGAATCTACCAACTAACTGCTCCATGGGAAAAAGATGGGCAGTCTCCTCCCATACAGTTTCTAGCTTCTGAAAGCCCACTGGAGGGTCAGCTCTGACTCGGGAACATAACAAAAACGTTAAGCAATTAGGGCCCTAGGTAGTGCAAGTGGTGTGTACTCCGCTTTTAACTGGAAGGGTGCAGGTTCAGATCTCTCCAGAGGCACTATGGAATTAAAAACGGATCAACTTCCATAAGATTGCAGCCATTGACAGCTACGTGGAGAGCAGTAATATGGAAGTGACTCACAGCAATGGGTAGCTGGGGAATTAAGCTCAGCTTTTAAATACAGCAAAGGCTGTTTCTGAGACCCAACTTGGGTAACGTAGGAAGCTCTGATGGTGTGGTCTGTAGGGAGTGGCACTGCTAAACTCAAGGTAGTACGCCTGATGATTAGGGTGCACCTGCGGCTTCATGGGAACAGGATGGGCAGTGTCCTCCCATGTAGTTTAAGGCCTCTGAAGACCTGCTGGAGAATCAGCTATGAGTCACTTCTAACTCCACAGCAATGATGTGACTTTGGTAATTGGAAAATGGGAGTCCCCAGGTGGTTCTAAGATCAGTGCTCTTGGTTGCTAAATGAAAGGTGGTAAGTTCCAGTCCCTACACCTAAACAGTCCCCTGACAAAATCAGCCACAGGGAAGCCTGTGCCAAGCAGTTCTCTGACAAACATGGGGTCACCACAAAGCAGGATAAATGCCACCACAGCTAATGACAGTGGCTTTGGTGGTGGCAACTTGAAATTCTGATGAAAACTGTTCTCTCTTAACATCTTTCAATGTTTTCTATTAACAGGCCACGCCCCCGGTGACCATCCCGGGGTCGGCCAAGTTCACTCCCAATGGGAGCAGCTTCAGCATCTCCTGGCAGTCCCCTCCGGTCACCTTCACCGGCATCCCAGTGAGTAAATGTTTGAAACAGCCAGAAACCTGGTCAGAGCCAAGCAGAAATTTAGAGTACAAGTTGTAGAAATAAGCAAGGAAAGGGCCCAAGCTGGGATGCCAGAAGTAATCCGTTTCTTTAGTGATATCTGTAAACTCAAAGCAAGTTCCAGCCCCAACTCTCCATAAAAGTTGTTTTGACTGATATTTTAGAAAATTAGAATCCAGTTTCCACTGCCAAGAAACAACTTTTTAAAAAACTACCTAGGTTGGTTTTGTTTTTTTAAAAAAAAAAAAATATATGTTTGTGGTCTATTTATATATTACCATAATATTTTCTAAGCTGAACTCAGACCTTGTACAAAAAGATGGTGTTATCATTATAAATAACTATGTTAAATGCATTTAGAGACAGGAGTGGCATCCACCTCCTAAATAACATGCTTCTGGAAACTCTATGAAGTTTGATAAATATCAATAGTTGTTGAGGGGCTTTAGACCTTTTGTTCATAGGATCGCTATGAGTAGTGCTCAACTAAAAGGCAATTAACAATACAACAATGTGTTAAATGCCTAGCTTTAAAATTAGTGTTTTGTGGATATGTCACTTTTAAGATTAAAAAAAAATAAATTGAACCATTTTCCCCCAAAGCATGAATAATCCATGTTGATGAATAATTTGAAAATAAGTAGTACTAAAATGCACAAGCAAATTTAAGTAGTCTATAAGAAGAATATGAATTACCATATAAAATGTTTGCTGTCTAATAAATTGCCATGAATTTCCTTCATTCCCAGTGATTCGTTTAAAAATGTAGTGGGTCTTTTATAGCTTATCACAGACACACCCATAAGTCCCCACACCGGCAATGCTCTGGTGGGGTGTGGGGTGTGAGGACTGGTAAGGTTCAGAAAGTGGCTTAGGATAACACACACAACCTTATTTCCTGCTCTCCACTGCTAACAAAAGCTGCTTATTGTCAGCGCTGGCAACTCCCAAAGGTTTCCAGCAAAGACTAAGGCCTCCTAGAGAGCTGATGAAAATGAAAGTGGCTGAATCAATTCTGCTGTGCACTGTCAATGAATATTTATTAAATTCCACTGAGGAATAGCCAACAATAAAAAGTGCCCGCTGGCAGCAATTTGGGACATAGTGGCTTCCAGAAAATATTCCTGGAATTCGATTTTTTTTAAACAAGCCTGTAGCTCTGGAGTTAATTATGCAAGTGGCCTGTTTGGTCAAGTAGAGATAAGTAATAGTAGCTCTGGAAAAGCTGGAATGTTCTGAGCAGGCTTGTTAGTAAATATTAGACAAGAATAGACGGGGTGCATAGATATTAGGTTTGCTAATAGCAAGAATGTGGCATTACTGTTGCACGTGTCAGAGGCCAGCAGTCTGTCCATTGGCTGACATTTTGTTGGGTTTTTGGTTTGGGGATAGTTTTTTTTTTTAGTAGTTGTGCAGAGATTCAGAGTGGCTCTCAGTCACATGTCTAAGACAATCTTCTGTGTTAACCTAGAATAACAACTGAGATTCAGGATTGCAGAGACCTGCTACACTGAATCTGTTCATTCCTGTCTTTGACTTGGGTAGGATTTTCAAGAGCATAAGCCATGAATGCTCATTTGGTGAGCTCTGGTGGCCTAGTGGTCAGGAGCTGCCCTACCAACCCTGAGGTAGGTGATCTGGCTCCACAAGCTGCTCGCCCTGTGGAAGAAAGATGGTCTGTCTCCTCCCGTGTGATTTAGAGCTCCTAAAAACACAGAGGGTCAGCTCGCAGTTGATTCTGACTCAGCTGCAGTGAGTGAATGGTGTAGCACGTACGGTGTGTAGATGGATCAGCCCAGTTCAGACATCTTTTCAGATCACCTTTATAACAAGATTTTTTTTTTCCTCCCTTTACTTTTCAATTAAAATCATTACTTTCTAATGTTTCGAAGAATCGCTCTGAATTTTTTTTTACTACTTGGCTGTCCTATATAGGGAACTCTAGTGGCATAGTCTTTAGCAAGTTGTGGTAGTGACTCAAAGGCGGGAGAAGGATGGGCAATGTCCAGCCTCCAAAACCCAGCTGGAGCGTCAGCTGTGCATCAGTTCTGACTCAACAGCAATGAGCGAGTGATGTCATCTAATGTTTCTGGATCTCTTACATGGTAAGATCCTGGGGGTAGGGGTGAAACGAAAACTCCATTTGAACTGTGCTCCTTGGGGTTTTCTATGACAGATTGCCAGGCCTTTCTTCTGAGATGCCTCAGTCAGTCAGTCATTGCTGGGGAATCAGAACTGATTCATAGCTGAGTCTCCAGCAGGTTTTCAGAGACTATAAATGGCATGGGAGGAGACTGCCCATCTTTTCTCCCTCAGAGGAGCTGGTAGTTTCAAACGCCTTGGCAGCACAAATCCTTACCACCAGGCCATCAGAGCTCCCTGAGACATCGCTAGGTGGACTTACACTCTTGTTGTTGTTATTGTTAGCAGCCAAGCACGTTAACCATTTGCTGTAGCCCAACTGAAGAGTTCCTAGATTCTAAACTAGTAAGGGGGCTTTCAGACAGAAGCTTGGGGTGCTGGGGAGAGCCTGGGACAAAATTATATCAGTGATGGCTCCAACTGTATCCAAACTTTTTTTTAAAAAAGTTTCAACTTGATAAAATGCTTCTTTTTAAAAAAACCAAACCAACAACTGAAAGCTCGCTACTCTTTGTTATTCCGAAGGGCATGCATGCTTTGAGATCAGTCAGTTAGGCTTCCTTCTCTCCCCACCGCATCTTTGAGACGTGGCATTGAAGAAGAGGTATTTTTGTACACTTCCTAGAGAGTGCAAATCATCTTGTGAGAAAGCCAAAGGACTGTCAGATTTTATTTATGCATTTTCCTATGCTAGATTTCCTGAACTCTGGACTCTTAATAAGTTCCCTGGGTAAAACCTCTACCCAAAGGTGTATAACTGAAGAGACATATCTGCATATTTACAAATGTAACTCCAAGCTCCAGACTTTTCTAGCCTAAGGCTGTGGAGAATAGAGCAGGGAGGCTTGCTAATTAGAGCTTTCAGAGAACTGTGTTTTGGGTTTTGAGGGTTCCCCCCCCCCAATGACCTGCTTTTTCTTCCAATTATCTCCATTCCTTTCTCTGTCTTTTCATGACCAGCAGCTAAGAGCTCTTGGTCCCCAAGCAAGAAAGTAGGAGCTAGTCAAGGTATTATTCCAGAGGCTTCAGGCTGTCAGGAGAATCCCTCACCTTGAAATAGGTGCTTACATGTTATAACAGCTTAGATGGTTTGGGTTTGTGGGGTTTTTTTAAATTAATAATTTATTTTACTTTGTTGCTATTGTTGAAAATAAACCTAGAAAAGCATATGTGAATGCAGCAGTTCCTCCATGTACAACTTGGGGACACTGATTATATTCCTCAATTGTGTGACCATACTCACCATCCTTGTATAAGTTATTCCTTACCCACTGACACAGCTTATGGTCCCCTGAGTGTCCTGTGCAACCTTTCATGTTTCTGTTATCTTTTGGACAATTTAGGTTTGTTTTAACATCTTGAAGGGCAGTTCAAAATATTTATGAGGCTAAAATCAAGAGAGGGCTTATTGTTTGTGTTTCCATTTTTATTTAAGAATGATACAAATTGTAGAGAAATTTCTCTAATGTAATGATAGATAGAAAGGGACATTTGTATTTCTGCTCTGGTGTGAGTCTGATGCAAGTGTGAGTGCTGGCATTTATGACCCGTGGCCTCAAGCTAGTCATGTGCCCTTTCTGATAATACTACCTCGTAGAGTGCCTTGTGGTACTCAGATTAAATGATCTGGTGCCATTAAGCACTGTGCCTGGCACAGGGCTACCATTATGAAACACTGTCACTTTTAACATGCCTCCTTATTATAATTTGCACTCCCTCTTTCTCTCTCTGTCTCTCTATCTCTTTCCATCTCTCTCTCCCTCTCACTGTCTCTCTCTCTGTTTCTCTCTGTGTCTTCGTCTCTCTCTCCATCTCTCTGTGTGTATCTCTATCTCTCTGTGTGCATCTCTCTCTGTCTGTCTCATTCTCTCTGTTTCTCTCCATCTCTCTGTTGTCTGTGTGTGTGTGTGTCCATCTGTCTCTCTCATACTCTCACTTGCTCAATGCCATTCTGTCATAGCCTACTCATAGCCGATCCTCTAGCAGGTTCTCAAGGCTGTAAATTGCACAAGAGTGTCCAACTTCTTCCTCAGAACTGCAGTCCTCAGCTAATGCCTTCTAACTGTCAGTGAGATGTCCCCTTTGTGTTAGCAATGCACTGCTCTACGGACTATGCCACCACAGCTTCCTTACTACAATACAATAATATTGATAATCAGCTCATTTAACACAGTGTACTCAGCCCCTAGGAGGGCTTAGCCATGATTGCAGTTATGCTTCAGAGTTCTCTTTGGAACTCTTTTGTGACTGTACCCAATCAGACAAACTATGAGCATGCAGCTCTAATACCGTCATGTGAGAATTTTCTATACATATCTTTAGGGAGCTCTGGTAGCCTAGTGGTAAGGAGTTGCGCTGCTAACCCGAAAACACAGAGATGCAAATCCCCAGCTGCTCTGCAGAAGAAGATGGACAGACTCCACCTTTGCAATTTACTGCCTGTCAAAACCTGCTGGAGGGACACCTATGGGTCATTTCTGACTCAACAGTATATACCAAGATATAAATATGTTGTTTTGTTGTTGTTAGGTGCTGTCAAGTCAAGTACAACTCATAAACAAAAGATCCAAAACCTGTTCTATAACTATCATTGCTTCTCTAATGTTCATAGAGTTTCCAGTGTTGTTTAGGAAGTGGATGCCAATCCTGCTTCCACGGCTGTCTTAATCTGGGAGCTCCACCAAACACTGTCCACCATGGGTAACCATTATGACATTTGGCACACCAGTTGCACAGCATTCAACATCATAGAAACTCCAAGTTATCTCAGTACAGCAAACTGACAGACCAGTGCAGTACCACTGAGAAGAATGTTCTTCCCAAACACAATTAACACAAGGCCCAAGGGCCCAACCAGCTTTAAAATACAAAGTCCCACCCACCAGGTCCTGATTGACTTTAATAAGAAGCTTCCCACCCACAGCTGATTGTTAGCTAAATCCAGTAAATCTAGGTGACCAATCAGCTCACACACAATTGTGAATGAAATTAAAAAGACAACCAAATAGTTTAAGCCACACTTTCAGCTAAAACAAGATCCAACTGCTTCACACATAAGCCTCTAAACTGGAACATACAAATATAACTACATATGTATTGCTGTTCAAGTTTATATTTACTTTATACAGCTTAGAAATGGTAAAGGGTGGATTTCTTTAAAAAAAAACAACCAAACCCTGAAATGTGGAGAACACTGATAAAGATAGTGAAAGTGGTACTTTATGGGGCCTTACTTAGGGATCTCTGCTGTATGGCTCTAATTTTATTTTTTTTTATTTTTTACTATATCGGCATTCTTCTTATGTTTCTGTGCATTCTGTGTTCACTTTTAAATTTTTGGTACAATTCATATTAACATATTTTGGGTCACCCACAGTGACTGTAGACACACGAAGCACACACTTGGCTGCTGTTATTCATCCTGCACAGAACCAGGTGCATTGTGGATTGGGCTGCAGATGCTGCCCTGGGATGGAGCTGCATATCTATCCACATAACGTGCATTGCTGAGCTCCAAAGCTTTCATTTAAAAAAAGGAAAACTTCAGGGTAATAATTACTTTTCCTGGCCCTCATTCCACTAAAAAAAAAAGACTAATGTTCAAGGTAATCCATACTGACAGCAACAGTGGGTTACAATAGCATTGTGAGAGAGAGAGAGTGAATATGTGTGTTTGGGAAAATACCACCAATGAACTTCCTTTACAGAGATAGAATACAAAGTACTAGTTCCTGCCCATTTATATCTTAGGAATGCTCGCATGACAGTTCACTAATAAAGCTATTTCTATGTTGGCTTCTAGGAGACTCTTTTGTAGATATAGGTGTAAATGTTTATGAATATATTCTTCTATTTATGGCAATATAGGATAATTATGTAATACAACATTTTGTTATAAAGAATAAGTTTTTTGCAACATGGATAATCTCAAGGACTGGCAAGATAGTGTTATGAGACCAGGTAGTGGAAATGTCTGTTAAAGAGGAACTGCCTGTAAATCTTGTTTCCATGTACTTTCCAGGTCTCACCAACACACAACAACCTGCTGGGTGCAGGAGAACAAAGACAGCACACTCACACGGTCCTGTCCTCTCCACCCAGAGGAACCATCAGCCTAAGGTATGACCACTTGAGACACTCTACACTTCATCTCAAGGAACTTAATGAAAACAGGAAGAACGGCAAAGAATAGAGAAATGAAAAATACAATCATAAAATTCATAAAATGTTCCCAGAGTCACTGATATACCCTTTCTTTTAAGTTTCCCCTTGATTCCTTAAGAGAGAGAGTGTGTGTGTGTGTGTGTGTGTGTGTGTGTGTGTGTGTGTGTGTTTGAAGGGGTAATAGGATAGAGGGTCAGCATAGGAGAGGAAGACCCTGGAGGAGATGGACTGATGCAGTGACTGTGGCAGTGGGAGCAGGTGTGTAGAGACGGTGAGGTTGGCTAAGGATAGAGCGAGATTCAGAACTGTTGTTCATAAGGTCGCTATGAGAAGTAGTCATAGTTGACTCTCAGTGGCACATAATAGCAACAACAACAGTTGTTACTCGGTGCCATTGAGTCAGCTGTGATTCACAGGGTAAGAACAGTAGATCAGAGCCTGTCCTGCACCGTCCCCACTCTCCCTTCCAACCTCAAGCCCAATGTTGCAGTCACTGTCAGTCCATCAGGTTGAGGATCCTTTTTGCTGACCCTTTACTTTTCTCCACATGATGTCTTTTTCCAAAGACATTGTTTTTCCAAAGACATTCAGACTTCACAAAGCGCCAAGTTGCCATTTTTTTAGTAGTAATATATTTTTGTGATAAAACAGATGTAATTAAACATTTATTTCAAGCATTTTCACATGTATCATTCAGTGACATTAGTTAGCTGCACTGTGTTGTAGAACCATTACCACTACTTGTTGCTCAGTATTTTCCTTATCCTTAACACGTTGCCGCACACTTTTAATTGATGACCATGCTTAGAAACACATTTTTTTACCATCATTTGCGGCAATGTGTTAACAGACTTTCAGTACCTGTTCAACCCTGCATCTGCTGGTAGCCACTAATAAGCTTTAAACCCAAACTCATTGCTGTGGTGTCAGAACTAACTCATAGATAACCCGCCAGTGGGTTTTCAGAGGCTGAAAATCGCACAGGAGAAGAATACCACGACTGGTGAATTCAAACCACCTGCCTTTAGGTTGGCAGTACAACTCCTTACCCACTGGGCCAACAGCCCTATTTACTTGTCTATCCCTCAAGTTTCATATAAGTGAAATCATGCACCATTTGTTCTTTGGAGTCATGCAGCACAGTGTTTTCCAGGTTTGTCCACCTCATCTCTCTCATTGTCATCAAGGTAAAATCAGCTCTGGTTGATGTTCCATTGGGTTTCTGAGGCTGTAAATTGCATGGAAAGAGATTGCCATCTGTCTCCCTCAGAGTCACGGGTAGATTCAAACCACCAAAGAGGCATATTCCCTGGGTTAGGCACCACCGTAGCTCCCTCATATATGTCTCATAGCATGTAACGAATCTTCATTTATCTTCATGGCTCAATAATAGCCATATACACATTTACATATATACACCTATCACATATTCTATTTATCCATTTACCTGCTGATAGACCCTTGGGTTGTTTCTATCTCTTGGCTATTATGAATAGCAGCTGCAGTTAACGTAGGTGTACACATATGTGTTTGAGTTCCTACTTCCAAGTCTTTTGAGTGTATAGGAGCAGAATTGCTGCTGTATATTTAACTCTATGTTTAACTCTTAAGGAACCCCTAAGCTATGTTCCACAGGAGCTGTACCATCTTACATTCCTACCATCAAGGAATGAGGATTCCTGCAGTAAGTTTTCTTGCAGAATAAACTTAACAATTCATTTACTGTGAAGTGTTATGATTTACAGTAAGTTTTCTTACAAAATAGGTAATAGTATTTCTTGAGCATGGTAAAAGCCACGTGGCACTAACTTCTATTTTAAATGGACTACAAAATACAGCGTTAGTGAAGTTCAAAGAGAACTTCTTTAGACGTCCATTGTGGCCTGATCTATAGGAGGTTTTACTGCTAATCCAAAGGCCACCACTTTCCTGCAGTTTGAATTCACCAGTGGCTATCCGAAAGATGCACAATCTCTTCCCATGTGATTTACAGCCTCAGAAACCCAGTAGAGGATCAGATATGAGTCAGTTCCAACTTAACCTCAGTGAGTTGAATCTGCAGAACCCTAGAAATTTGAGAAACTCAAGAAGAAGCATCTAGTGATCTCTACAAGCATTTAATCTTACTTAATTGTTTGCTTCATGTTTATGAAAATGGCCAAGTGAGCATGTCCACTGATGGAAAAGTAGAAGCTTAAGTGTTATGCCCTGGAAACAGCCTCACCATGTTCAAGTCTGTACCTAGAGAGAATGTCCATTACATACCCTGACTTTCCCCGCCCCCTGCTTTTTCAAGGGACTTTTGAGCCTTGAGCAGAGTGCCCACTGAATTCCTGTCCCGGTCTGTCTTTCAGAAAGCCCAGAGGAGAGGGCAAAAAGTGCCGGAAGGTATACGGCATGGAGAACCGGGATATGTGGTGCACGGCCTGCCGCTGGAAGAAAGCCTGCCAGAGGTTCATCGACTGAGACGCCGGCAGCCACCCCTGTCCTCTCTAGCCACTGCAGGCGCTGAAAAGTGCTTTCCTCTCCTAACAAAATGCACTTGAAGCCCAGGAAAAAGCACTTCCGGGTCCAGGAACGTTGGTGGAATTACAGCAGGAAACAAAAAAACAGTCACCACACTCACGCTGTGACTGAGAATCCAGCCAGAGCAGCTGTATCCTTATTTCCTTTAAAAAAAAAAAAAAAAGCAAAAAGCCAACATTTTTTTGCTGTGTATCAGAGACTTAACTATGAACTTCTGTAGCAATTGAACACACAAAGCCCTTTTTTTGCCTAGTAAGGAGGCGAATTTTGATAAGCTTTCTGAATAATGCCGTTTCCAACCTTTTTTGACACAAGAAAAAATAAGTAAGCTACATGTTATTCAGTAGCATCTGTACAAAGAACAATGCCAACTTTCCTTGTGAATAGGTATTTTCCTGTTTGGGGTTTGACTTCTCGGAGCAGTTCACATCATGATGTGTTGCGGGAACATGCAGCACTCCAGGTATCTTTTCTATGTTTATGTTTCTGGTTTTGTTCAAGAATGGCCCCCAAATGGACCATGGTAGTGCTGTTAGCGTGCAGGGCCCAGAATGACATCAGTTGGAATTCACCAGCAGACTTCAGCCTCCAGCTGAGTTCACAAGTCCGGCTGTCACTGTTGGAAATCATGGAGTTGCCCTTGGATTTGGAAGAAGTACTCCCCTAAGAGGCAACCGATTGATTGTCTGCCTGCCTCCACTCTCTCCAGCGTCTGTAACCTCTGGGTAAGCCTCAATGCTTCTTTCAGGGACGTGCTGCAGCTCGGATGGACGCCACTGCTGTGTCGGTCCAGCTGGCGCCAGGTTAATGGGTCCTTTCTCCACAACTCTGCCACTGACTGATTTTAGAAATGGGCCTGAACTCCAAACTGCCCCCAGCTGGTTTGCTTTCAGTAGCAGAGCACAGCCTCCGTCCACATCCCCCAGCTGTTCAGAAAGTCACATTAGGTCAGCAAACCAACTTCCATTCTGAGTGCACTTTTACTAGGTTTCATGCTTTAGCATGCCTGGCAGGTGGGTTGATGAATATAAACATTATATGGATAGAGGGTTGAGCCAAACCTTTATTTTCTTATGAAATATTGGAGCTGTTTATTGAGGATTAGCTCAGACGGGGACATACAAAACACCAAAAGGAAAATGCTTGCTGGTATAGGAATCTATTTAGTAAGGTTAGGGCTACTATGGGGTTCCATTTATCGGCCATTCAAGACTAGCATGTGTGTTCAGTCAATAGGTTGTTTGGCTGGTGGGTTTTCAGCGGCAGTGAAGGGGGAATGGGGCAGTAGTCCACAAGCCTGATAGATAAATGGGCTTATTCTCTAACTACTCCTTGCTTAATTACCCTACTAAAGAGTTATTCCTCCTATACCTATGCAAAGCAGTAAGAGCACCTTATGGGATGCACTGTGTAGGGACTGGGGACGTGGGATCAGCCATAGGAATGTTAGATGCACTTGCACAGAGGAAAGGTTACTATATGTCTAGAGATTGTGCATAACGCCTTTTATTTAAGAGCGGAAAGAATTCATCGTAAGAGTTATCCTTTTTTAATATAAAGTCCTATAGTGCAACATCCAGTTTGTACATTCATATCTTTCAGCAATTTTCTTTTTTAAGCTTGCCTATGACTCTTTTTATTATTATTATTATTATTCCTTAGAAAAGCTCCTATATTCTTTCTTCAATTATTTTTTAAAGCCACTTACTTCTAGAGAAACAGAAAAAGAGCTCCCTCTTATTTTGCATCATGATTACCGGTCAGTAATGGCCACTGTACCAGCTGGTGACAGATGTTTCGCATGTAGGAGATCAGCCGGAAAAGGACTTTTTTTTCCTTCTTCTTCAAATACAGAAATGTATTTGCTTCCTCTCAGCCAGGATGTCCTGTCTCTTCTCATGCTGTCCTGTCATCTCCCTGCAGTCACCTGCTGCTGTGACCTGATGCGGCTGGCCTGGTCAAGGAGGCCCGAGCTGTGGGTGAATTGCCTCGTGGCCACCTGTTTGAGCTAGTTCACCACATGCTTACATGATGGGCAGGGTGAAATCAGAGAAGAGGCTTATCTCCTTCAGCAAATATCCCTGGCCCTGAGTCTTGGATTGAATCACTAGTCAATGTGAAGGGATGAAAGGCCAAATCCATCTCCAGCTTCCCAGAACTTGGGCACAGAGAGGGAAATAGCTCTTGGGGAGGAGTGTCTCATGGACAGTCCCCAGGGCTCTCACTACCAGGGTGGCGCCCATAAGAGGTTTGGGTTCAGGCGTGTCTGGGCTTCTTCACACGTGTCTGGGTGTAAGCAGAAGCACAAAGCTGAATGCAGCTTGCTCTTGCTACACTCCTCTGAAGTGTCATAAGGGTGCTAAGGTGGCTTTGTGGATAAAGAATTGTGGGGTCAGCCCAATAGCAGGAGGTTCAGATAAACCAGCTTCTTTACAGGAGAAAGATGGATAGTCTCCTTTCTGAAAACCCACTGAAGGATCAGCGTTGAACGAGTTCCAACTCAGTGGCACACAATGGCAGCAAAGCATCATCCCTGCTCTACTGCATCGCCCACTTGCACACAGCTCCTTTCTGGTGACCAGCAAGGCAGATAAAAACGGCTCAGCCTAGAGCTCTGTGTACTCTCATCTCTAGCTCCCAGCTGCAGACAGTGGCTGACCCCCACTACCGTCCTGGACAGCAACACCTATTCCCTGTTCCATGACATGTAATAACTAAACTTGGCATGGCTGACCTTGGAAAAAAGGAACCAACCTTCTTCTAACCATCCAGAGAGCTATGAATTGCAATATACAGCCACTGATTTTAAAAGTGAAAATTTTAAGAGTTATTTTGTTATATCAAGGAACCAAACAAAGTGCCAAATTAAGCCAGATGTCCACTTTATACCATCTCTGTGGACCAAGTCCCTCTTGTGTTTTCCTTTGTCAGGGAGAGGAAGGGAAGGGAAGGGAGGGGTGGGGAGGGCCCTGCGAGCTGGCACATAACAGGACCTCCAGACCACTGTGGACCCAGAGGCCTGTTCTATGCAGATGAAGCAGTAATAACAATGGATTCTGGTTTCAAAGGCTTTCCAAATGAGGCATGCTATAGCTTTCTGGGTGTTTTGTCTTCTCTTTTGATAGCTTTCCCCTCAGATGACATTTTCTCATCTCTTTCCAAAGAAGGCATTTCTAATAACAGGGAATTCTCCAGATATCTACAAAGCAATGACTGTCCATCTGACAGTGGTTTGAAACCTTGGTTCTTCCCACTCAGTTGCATTGCACCCTGTTGTTTGGAGGCACTTGACGAAAACGCCCAGGTAGCAGATGGATTAGGGAACAGAAAGGAGACGAGGCATGTAGGCACCTTGTCTTCGTTCAGCGCTGCCAATCACCTGCAAGAAAGGAGTGAGGTGCCTGGAACCTCTGACGAAACTGTCACATCCTGTCTCTGGGAGAATCTGCCAGAAGCAGAGACCGCGCTACCTTCAGCCAAGTGGTCAGGGTGCAGGTCTGGCCACACAGGTCCTGTTACACACAGACTCCTGCCTTCCACTTCACTTGCTGGAAACATTCACCCTTGTGTTTGGCAGCAACCAGTGTCAAGAAGGTGGCAGAGGGTTCTGACCAAGACTTCAAGTGCTCAGCTATGAAGTGCCTGCCAGCAGCCTCCAGGAACTCCGGGGTGCCATTTAGAAGAGAAGCCAGGCCCCATCCTAGCCACAGATGCAGATGATAGTTTTCTATAGAGAATGGTGCATGTTAAGTTCTCTGGCTTTCCAATAAGTTTTCAAAGAGATAGTGACATATGTAATGCAGAAGTTTCTCAAACGGCAATGCCCTCCATCAACTGTCGAGACTATTAGAGTTTCTGTCTGCTCTCCTCCGTGTAACCCTGAACCACACTTTTGAAAGCAGCCCATGTGTCCAAGTCGACACTGCTGCATCCATTTCCCCCCCTCCCCACCTCACCGGACTTAAACTACAAATTAAAAGAGCAGTAGTGCCCACCTGATAGGAAATATACAAGAGTTGTGTGTATATAGTAGAGAATGCCTTGAAAATAGTAGCAAAATACTGTAAATAATACTCATTTCCTCAGGGAAAATCAAAGGGTATGTGAAAAAAATAGATTGGAGGATCCTAAGACTAGGAGGAATTTTATTATCTTTAGAATCTTTTCTAGGCCACACTTTTCTTCAATGAACCTGATAGGATTGCAACACAAATTTACATGAACTGGACAGTATCAGCTTTTCTGAGGTGTGGGGGTGAGTGCCCTATTAAAAAAAAAGTATTTCGAAGGTGATCAGAGGGCTGATGTTGGAGCCACAAGCACAGTCCCTGGCAGACATTCACAGACTCCTGGAAGGCTTTTTTTTTCTTTTCCTTTCTACAATCACCTGGTTAGATGATGGTCTATTAGCTAAAAGCAGAGTTCTTGTAGATCAAAGCTGTTGAAGATCTGCCTTTTGCTTTCAAAGCATGTTAAGGAGCAAACTCCCATGGACTCTTGTGGACAAGGTGCTGCTTTTTTTCTCATAACCTTGCAGAATGCCTGTGAACCACGTCTGCTGTGGCCTGGGCCTGTGTGAAAGCCGAGGAGAAGGTGAACACGCAGAGATGCGTCGCTATCACAGGATGCAGGAAGATGCACATCGTTTCAGAGACTGTGCCGGGCACTCAAGACAACTGGAAATTTCATTTCTCTACAAAAATAACGACCAGCAGCACCCACCCTCCCCAATTCCTCATACTTGTGGGGACCTCTCCCTGCGGGAACTGCCTCATCATAGCTTTTTTACAGTGTAACTAGTGAAAGCATAGATCAGTGAATAAAATAAAATTAGCACTTTTAGGTAGCCATTGTATCACTGAACAACGCACATCAACAGAGCAAAAAAGTAGAAAAATCTATTGAAGATTGACGGGTTTACTTATTGTGACTTTAGAGAG